TGCTTCCGAAGCGCCTTGGCATGTCCTGGTGGAGATCCTGGCACTTGTGCAGAGGGTCGTGACAACCGTACCGTGGCTTGCAGTGCATGCATGGTTGGCTTGCATCCTACCGCGGAAGGCTGTGTGCCATGCCAGGGACAGGACTACTTTATACTGATTTTGGTTTGCATCCTGGTCCTTGTGGCAACAGGTGGAGCGCATGCTTTTCTGCTTTTCACAACTGCTCAGAAGGTGCAAGTGGGACTTGTTAAGGTCGGCATTTACATCGGTCAACTGGCGGTGTGTGTGCAAGTCGTCGTCGTGATGCACAGGATGGATATGGAATGGCAGGAACCATTCCTTACGATCTTGCGAGCTATGAGCGTCATCTCAGTCGAAGAACTGATGCAGTCGCTGAACGCTGTAAGTTGCGTGACTCGCTTTTCTCCAACAGTGCAATTTCTATTTCAGACCGTGGCAGTTCCTCTAGCGTTCATGACTGGACCAGTCCTTGTCCATCTGCACTATATTTGCATACGGAAGATGGGAAACCGAGTGAAGAAGGCGAAGAAGGAAGTAGCTGAAGGAGCAAGGCTGCACAACATAGCGGAGACCTTTGGCATGCTCTGCATGGTCTTCTTCATCGTCCTCTGCACTGCAGTGTTGGAGCCGTTTGACTGTGTAACACATCCAAACCTCGCTTCAACTATGAGAACCTCGGCCTCCCAGTGGGCCCCTTTTTTTCCTGTTTTGTAGTCCCAGGTTCCTTATACAGTAAAGCTACCCAATATACAAAAAAGGGAGCCCTTTTTTCTTCCTAGGTTATACTGGGCATCTTAGGAACGGCCAGTGATGTGCTGTGCAACTTCCGAGACGATCATCTGAGCCTGTCATTTGCAGCCAGTTTCCTGACCCTTCTACCAGTCGGTTTCGTCGCACTCTGCGCATGGATTGTGCTGATGGAGCTTCCCAAGCGAATTCATCGGATGGATGTGAAGTTTATCCGGTCCTGCTCATTCCTATTTTCGCGCTTTCGTCCCGGGCACCATCCATTTGCAGTTTTGCTTCTGGTCAGGAATGCAGTTGTGGCGATGTCGCCCATTCTACCTTCGGTTGCTGCAGGCTGCCTTGCAATTTTCGCGATGCTTTGCTTGAACTTGTGCCTGTCGGCCGTTTTCCAGCCATGGCTGTTTCCACTTTGCTCTTACACCGACATGCTTGCCAATGTATGCTTTTTGCTTATCCTTCTGCATGGCGCCTTCTATGTTGCTTTGTCATAGTTGGGTAACATTTTACATTTTTATGGGTACTTAAGTCCAACAAGGAATAAAGATTTGCATCTTTAATCCTATCGAAACCATGAACTAGGTTGAAGATGAGATCGGCCCTTCGGCCATGATTGTTTGTTCCGTTGTTTTGGGTGCAACTTTGGTGATGCTTTTGGGCTTAGCCGCCTATTCTTTGGCAGAATATTGGCTTCGCAAGCGGCGCAAGAGTTACCAGTTCTTCTTAACTCATCACAAATCCACTGCTGGCAGCGTTGCAAGGCTAGTGAAGTTGGAACTCCGGCAGCATGACTGCTCTGTATTCCTAGACAGTGATGACTTGTCATCTTTGGTGCATCTTTTCGCTGTGATCAGCCAAAGTGTGGAGAACTTGATCGTCGTAGGTTCAGCCAACATTTGGACTCGCAAATGGTGCGTAGGTGAAATCGTCACTGCAAAATTGCAGAATGTGAACATTGTCGTGCTTGCTTTACCCGGATTTCATTTCCCGGATGCCGCTTTCATTGCAGCGTTCGACACGGTTCTTGGGGACCTGAACGAGTTGGCCACTTATGGACTTGCAAAATCCGACATCAAAGACACCTTGGCGAAGCTAAGAGATCAGAAAACCGTCACTCTGCCAGAGCGGTTTCAGGTCTCTGACCTTGCTGAAATGATGCAAGAAGTGATCCCTGCAAGAACAGCGGTCCCGAAAGACACAATGAATGTGACTCGCTTCGATGCAGATGGTATTGGTGCTGTCACCTCATGTGTGATCTTGGCTAATCATGATGATATGGAGGCCTTAGCAACCGCACATGTGTTGAGAATCTGGATGTTCCCACACCTGTTGCAGAGGCGTATCAATGGACCCTCTGTCATCTCTTCAGACGACAGGATCATGGAGCTTGGGGCAGAACATGCGCAGTTGGTGATCGTCCTCTGTACCAAGGACTGCTTGGAAGTCCCAAGCATGCTTCAATGGATGATTCAGTGTTACCATTTCGCCGTACATTGTCGCATGCTTCCAATCATTGCAGATGATGATTTTCGCGTTCCGGGCGCGGTCGCCGATTTCCGCACGCTGGCTCGACGTCCACACGTGTTGGCCCAAGACGAACGCCTGCTCGATTACCTTGCTGTGGTAAGGGTCCTTTTCACTCAAATTGCTTTCCGATTCTCAGCTCGTTATTCAACAGAAGCGAGTCTGAAATCCAAAGCAGGTCGATGCGCCGAGAGGCTGTTGGATTTGGAGAATCTTGCAACGCTTTTACACGTGGCGCCTCCTACCATTGACCTCTCAGAAGTCACGACCTGGTTGCAAGAAAGCAGCAATGAAGCCGAACGGAGCCACGTTGAACAACGACATGCGGGTCGACTTGAAGAGGATGAAGGCATGGAAGAGGTGGTCTTTTGATTTTTTCGCTTGTCACCCGATCAATTTGTCAGTGTCAGCGTCGTGTCGGAGAAAAAGACTTGTGCGTCTAAAGCTTTTGTGGGATTCATTTTCCGCCTTGGAGTGCCCCATTTCGTAGAAGCATCCTACACCCGCACGCCTAAATCCCTGCGCCGTAGATCCTAAAATCCTAGATTTTCAGGTGAAATCCTCGAACCAAATCTGCGCATGACCGTGGCGCCCCATGCGTCCGGGCCCCGTGCAAGACAAGGCCTGGATCTGTTCGTTTTCATGGTATAAAAGTTTGTACATACAAAGATACAGAAGTACGTACAATGATGGGGGTGTCGGGGCAATCAGAGCTTTCTTGGTGTAGCCAGGAGGCGCCATCCCGGCATGTGTATCCACTCAGTGCATCCCTTGCTGCAGCAGTGTGTTTGAGATTTGAATTAGGAGGAAGGAACCGTACAGATGCAGTCTAGTCCCCATACTCCCAACACTGATGCCAGCACAAGGCATCACCGGTCACCAGCAGTTGCTACGTACACGCTTGTGAGAAGCAGCGAAGGCCTTGTTGAAAGTCGGCTACCACGCACGTCGCATTCAGCTACTTTCCACGAAGCTCAATTCTGCTGTTGAGAACGGGATTCCCTATCTATCATGAGTTTGACATTGCACAGAAAAGCGTGCAGGCACCGTCGTTCCATGCACATTCGACCAATTGTTGATATTTGTTGTGTCATGTGAGCGCGGAGGCCCTCCAGATCTGCGCTTCGCAACTGGCAAGTCTGCAAGTGCCACTCGTAGACCGGGTCGACCCCTATACTTGGTAGAGTTCGTAGTGTACAGTCTCCGCGTTTTCATGCGTTTCATGCGCCAGAGATGATAAGTAATGACAAGTCATCCGGGCGGATGTGCTTGGAGCCGAACCCAGAGATCCCAACACCCCTTAATTAAGGCACATACCTTAAATAATAGGGGCCTTAAAGGTATATTCCTTAATTAAGGGGCATTAAAATCCCCTAAACCCTATAGATCCCTTATAGACCCCTTTAAAGGAACCCTAACCCTAGGTATTCCTTGATTAAGGGGCCCCTTGGGCTCTCTGGGAAGGCGTGTGATCTCTCTCGAGCCCTCGCGGCCCTGGCATGCGGAGAGGGAAAGAGAGAATCATAGGGATCCTTAGGGTGTAGGGTTTAGGGTTTAGGGTTTAGGGTTTTGGGTTTAGGGTTTAGGGTTTAGGGTTTAGGGTTTTGGGTTTAGGGTTTAGGGTTTTGGGTTTAGGGTTTTGGGTTTAGGGTTTAGGGTTTAGGGTGTAGGGGGCTATATTTCCTTAAATAGGCCTTATTAATCCTTATTATGGGCCTTAAGGCCCCCTACACCCCCCCTCCCCCTACACCCCTAAGGATCCCTATGAGAGAGAGGGAGACGGTGATGATGCTGAGACTAAAAATGATAGTAAGAGTACAACAACAGCAATAATACCATCAACAATACCAAAAATGATACCTAAGCCCTAAACCATAAATCTCAATGATTATACTAAGAAGAAGAAGATGAAGATGATGCTGGCGTCGATGAGTTGCCTCTGCCTCGGCTGCTTCTCAGAGACGGCGGACTGAGCTATGAGTCATTCTGGGATCTTGTTTAGGACGGAATCTAATTTAGGTTACCATAATGGGAACCTATGGTAAATAACATGAGTGGGTTTTTGTTAAGGAACCTAATTTATGATTAATTTAGGTTACCATAATCGGAATCTATGGTAAATAATATGGTTTCCTGATTATGGTAAATTAAAGCGAATCCCTTAACAAAGACCCAGCGTTTGCAGAGCATATCTCCAATCCTTTCTTCCTCAAAGTGAAAGCACTTCAGGGACATGCGATCCATGCCGTGACGTGTGATCACGGTTACTTGCGCCGGGAAGTTATCAAGTGTTGAACAGTGTCTTGTGACAGTGCAAGGCTCAACCTTACGAAGAACATCTTTGAGGTCGAGACTTTGTTCCGAGCCCGTGTTACCAACCGCCACAACTGTCGATGGTGCAGGCTGTCGTCCGTGCTTTCTGCGGCCGTCTGGGAAGGGTCCACAACAACGGCATATACTCCGCAGACCTACATCTGTAAATGCTGGTCGCTGGGACTAAAGCCCTAGAGCCACACCCCAAAGCTGCAAGCGAAGCCGACAGACCCTTGACCTGAGCCCCCCTTGTAGCCCTCTCCCCGAAAAGTTACACCCTGAAGCCCTCTAACACACAGTTTTTGAAACATCATCCTGCAGCCACCAGCCTCCATCCCTAAACCACAGACGTTTAACGCCCAGATTTGCAGATTGCAATTCTCGACCCAAGCCTGCGCATGACTGTGGCGCCACCGCGAGGGGGCCCACAGCCCCCGCCCCCCGTGGGCCCGTGCAAGACCAGGCCCGGGATCATAGGTTGTGTACTTAAGCAGGTACATAAGTAAGTACAAGGATATAGGTGTGTTGGTTGATTAGAAGTTTTTGGTGTTTAAGGTGTTGACTTTAGGGCATTAGGGCTTGGGGTTGAAGGTGTCATTGTCTTATTGAGTCTTATTGCGTAAATGAACGTTGATATTCCCATGGCAACGGTTATTCTGATGTTATTCTTAACGCATATACGAGGATGCTAAATACCGCTGCTGTTGCTCCTTCTTCTCCTCCTTCTGCTGTTGTGTGTGACTATACTAACACTGCTGGTTGCTGATGCTTATCAGTATTGCTCTGTGTGTTATTCTCAGTTTTGCTTTATCTGGTTGTCTTGTTGTTGGCAATGACGTTGTTGTTTCTCATGAACCTAGTTGCATGTATGTCGTCAGAGTGGACTGTGGTTTGCTTTCGGAGGCATTTGGTGTACTGGTCTGAAGACCAAATGTTGTTGTTCTCAGGCCCTTGGCGTTCTGATTGTAACAGGGAGGAAAAGAACCGCAACAAAACACAACCTTAATGGAAAAAACCCAAACCCTATACCCTCCACCAAACATGGCCTATTAAAGTTACACCTAAACCCTAAACCCTAAACCCATTCCGAAAGCTCTCACCTCGCGCAGTAGGTTGCAGACCTCCTCAGGAGCCTGGGTGCGCGAGGCCGGGTGGGGCACGAGCTCGGAAACTTCTTGGAGGGTCGGAGGACTTAGTAACTGGTTACTTTAGGGACTTATAAGTACCATAGCCCCAATTAGGGTCCCTTTTAGGGTACTTACAAGTCTATTTATTAACTACTTACTAAGTCCCCTGACCCCGCAAGTTCGCTATCGAAGCCTCGGAAACCCGAAGCCCTCAACCACCCCTAAACTCTGAAAGCTCTAAGCCCTAAACCCGAAAAGCCCTATACCCTGAACCCTAAACCGTGTACCCTGCAGCGTTACAAGAAGGATTTAGGGGCAGGGCTTCAGCGATGTTGCGATGTTGGTACTCTAAAGCTTTAGAGTTTAGGGCTTTGGGGCTACTGATCCTTTGCTCCACTCTAGCCTTCAATTGTTGGGGTTTATGCCCCGGAATGCCGGGAGTCTATGGCCGAAGTTCAGCCAACCAAAGGCCCGGACAGAAGAATTCCGTCGTGTGGCCGGGCTTTGTGCAGAGGCCTTCGCAGAGGCATCAGGGGGATACTAAAAGCCGGAGATTCTTGCGTTCAAGATGCAGTGTTTTTGCAAGCATAACTGCAACAACGACACCTTTGATAGATAACCATAGCAGCAATAAGAGCAACGGTGGTGGTCGGTCATAGAAGGAGTCATCAGCGTGATCGGCTTTGCCTAGAGCCGACTTCCTTGCTCCAGGTTTACGGTTTAGGGTAAAGAGCCTTTGGGATGCAGGGCAAAGGTCCAGAGACCCCCATAGCGCGATGACTGTGATTCGAGACTATTGTTTGCATTGCATGCGTTCTTACTTCGACGTTAAGAATATAACCCGTTTCTGAGAATGCAGTCTGTTATTCGGACTTGGTGAAGTTTCCAATAATTAGAGGGCCTTTGGAGTGTCGCCCGTTGCCCGCCTTTTGCAGACCTTGCTCACAAGCCCTGAGACCAAGGCTTGTATCTTAGAGTTTCCAGGCGAGGGCTCCAGGGCTCAATACGGGAGTTTCCGAAAATAGGGTACCCTGATATAGTACCCTAAATAGTAGGATCCTTATTATAAGGACCCCAAAATAAGGTACCCCTTACTTTCGGAAACACCCATATAGAAGCCCCGACGAATGGGAACAAACTTTAGGGTACCACGCAGAACCATACATTGCTTTTTTTTATCACCGAAACCCTATTCCAAACCTTAAGGCCACCTTATCAGGGTTCAGTGGAATTGAGACCATGATCACAACAGCACTTCGAGTAAACCTTAAATCCATAACCCTAAACCCTTCCAGCGCCAGCGTTCGTGCCAAAGCCCGTTGTGAAGGAAGCCTTAAAGGGGATCCTATTTTAGAACCCTCTAGTACCCTTTAAAGTACCCTTGAAAGGGAATCCTAACGCCAGGATACAGGACCACGAAATACCTTCACGTCCGCTGCTCGGGATCTGTCTTGCAAAGTGCGGCAGCCCTGATGATCGTTGCTTTGTCTCCCTGCCTCTGTAGTTTCTTTTTAGATATACATGGCCTTTCCTGAATCTGTACATTAAAATGTACACTTATTGTTCCTTCCTTCCCTCCTTGCTTGCTGCCTTCGTTCGTTCGTACTTTCTCCCTCTGTCTGTCGGTCTCTCTCCCTCTCTCTCACGCTCTCTGTCTCTCTCTACATACATGCTTACATACATACCTACATACATACCTACATGCATACGCACATACATACATGCATGTATACATGCTTGCAGACACGCGCACGTGCATGCACACATATGTGAGTAAATGCATGTACGTGCACCCTAGTTTGTTTGTGTACACACAACATAATGTGAGCACTTGCATGCAAAGCACCATGCATGCCTTCATAGACTTGCACGTGTGCACCTAGTTTACTGCGCCCACATGTGTTTCTTCTTTGATCGTCTGGTCGTTCACAGATGTAATCATCTGTCTCTGCGCTTAAACATACGCATATACAGGCATCTGTATCCAACTCGCTATCTACATACCTCTCCCTCTCTCTCTATGTCTCTCGGCATAATGCACTTGCATGTTCACAGGATTCTTTACACATGTATACAGGCCCAGGTGCACACAGAGCCTTTCGGCTGAATTTAGGAAGTGACCCTTAAACCCGAAAGTTCCGATCTTGGCAAGATTTCAGGCACGGGTGGTTTTGATCGGCTGCTGCGCTTGTTGCTGTCAGCACGGGGACCTGCTTGTTTTGTATTTTGTTTTTAAAGCATGGTTTTGACTTGTATCTTCAATAACCTGAACCCGGCCTTTTTAGGGCGGCTTGAGGTTGCTGGTGTTTTCGGGTTACGTGATTTGCAGTTTCGCATGAGTTGCGGGGATGAAGGTTCAGCATTGAGGGGTACGGCTTTGTAGGCTTGAGGAACCAGCTAGCAGAGACAATGGGCGGTGCAGACTGAACGGGCAGGAGTTGGGTTCTTCGATCATCGTTGATGAATGCCATGGAAAATGTGAGGTTCTGTGCATCTACACGAACTCCCGACAAACCTTATGTCCTGAGCTGTGAAGGTGGTTTGAAGAAGACTTTGAACCCAGAATCCAAAGCTCCAGGTCCTTGCTGGGTCGAACCCAGCGGGTATTTCTGGCAGCAGTCATGGAAGTGTCACTGGTGCCACTCGCCCGCTTTAAGTTCCGACCAAGAAGTCATTCGAAACAATCGATATTCAATCCCTAGCCCTAACCTGTAGACCCTAAGTCGTACACCCTAAACCCCAAACTCCAGGCGGATGGGAACAAAGGGCGTTCAACAAGAAAAGGCTAATCCCACACCTCGCAATGATCAGAGTTTCGTATCTTAACCATCGGCTACGTCTTACGGCCGGGGCAGGAAAAGGAGCCTTTTTGGAGGAACCTCAAAACCCCAAGAAACCCCGTAGTAAACCTCATAGTTGCATTTTAGAGGAACCCTAAAACCCCAAGCCTGAAACCTTCATAGTAGCCTTCAGAGGAACCCGAACCCTGAAAATGGAGAGTAACCTTCATAGTAACCTTGTAGAGGAACCCATAACCCGCAAACCCTAAACCCCTAAACCCTAAACCCCTAAACCCCTACACCCCTAATCCCTACCCCTAGACCCTAAACCACCCCAAGCCCAAAGCTCAAAGCACCCAAGCCATTTTTATGAAGACCAGAGCTGAGGCAGCGAGCGTTGGTCGCGGCGTTCTTCCAGGGCCGTGCAGAAACTTGGGCTGCAAGTGATTTCAGCTACCATATCATAGATATATCATGATAACAAGTATATATATATATATATATACAAATATTTTTTATATCTGTATTTACATATTCAGCTATTGCCGTTCCTTTTTCGGTGTAGGGTTTAGGAGTTTTGGGTGAACAAGCTATGGAGTTTGGGGTTATAGTTCAGAGTTGACGGTGCGTCAGCGCTAAATGTTTGTGAGTTCATGTTTAGTGACTATCCTAAGGCCCCAAAGTAGTTCCTTTTTGGGATTCATATATAGAATCCTATGAGGTAATCCCCAAAAGGAACTACTATGGGGCCTATAGGTAGGGCCGTAGCCGTCCTCATGGACAGCCAGAGTAGGGTTCAGGGTAAAGATGTCAGGAGCAACAGAAGTCGCGCAACAAGGCGTGCAGTGACAGGCAGGTGTGGGAGTTTTTCCAAAAAGAAGGGACCCTAATGTAGTACACCAAATAGTAGGATCCTTATTATAAGGACACCAGAATAAGGCACCCCTAAGTTTCGGAAACTCCCCTGTAGGACTTCGGAGCCATGCCGCGGTGACGAGAAGACCTTCATTTCCTCGGTCCCCTTCTGCCCACAACCCAGAGCCCGTACTTAGAGGTTCATGGTACTTAGTAATTAGGGTTATATATAGATACGGTAACTATACTTATAAATGGTTATATCCCCTGTACTTACTAAGTCCCATGAACCTCCAAGTATGCAACGCAGTAACGCCCTCAACTCGACTCTTGGTTGCTATGGTTGTTCTGCTTCCCTGGTGCTCTTGTTAGAGTATAGGGGCTTACGGTTTAGCGAACTCCGACATACTCAGAGATCCCAATACCCCTTAATTTAGGAATATACCTTAAATAAGAATACTTATTGAGGCCTCTATAATTTAAGGTCTATTCCTTTAGCGAACTCCGACACACTCCGTCAGTCAGGAGCGCTTGCGCCAGAAGCCGCCCAAGAGGCACAAGGTCTTGGTCGCTGCTCGGCCCGATCTCTCCTACATGCTGGTTCCTGTCCATTTGGGGGCTGCCGGCACCGTAGCAAAGTTAGTTAGCTAGCCAGTTAGTTACATGCTGGTTCCGTAAAGTTTTTGACCACAGACCCTAAACCCTAAACCCCTAAACCCTGAACCCCCAAGCAGGTAAGCTCCAATACGAAAGTAAGACCTCCAAGCCCGAAAGCCTAAAGCCCGACAACGCGAAATTCCAAAAGCCCCAAAACCCCATGCAACATTCGTAAGAATCCTAAAGCCTCCCACCATACAAAACCATTGCAGAGCCCTCACGGAACTTTCGAAAGACTTTCTAAAGCTTTGGACGGGACATCGCGACAGTTTATCAATTTGCACTCGCGTGGGTTGAATAGATAGCAGGGGCTCAGAAACCACCCGGTTCGCTGTTCAGTCACCATCCAGTTAACTGCTCAAAAACCACGTAAACAGTAGGTGTTAGAGGCAGCCCGCCAACATACAACCTCTCTACTTGAAGGATCATGGGACTTAGTAAGTAGGTTATAATTGGGATTATAAGTCCCCTAAGTGGGGTTATCCTAATTATAACCTACTTATATCCTTACTTACTAAGTCCCATGAGCCTTTAAGTATGCCCCCTTATCATGCCCTAAACCTTAGACCCTAAACCCGAAAACCCTAAGCTCTGCGCCTTAAACCTTTGAAATCTTCAAAGAATGGAGAGTGTACAGTAAACCCAAAACTTTGCAAAGAACCCTGTAAGTACAACCTAAACCCTTTACAGCATGTATGATTTGCTTGAAGCTTTCTTTGGCCAGCAACTAGTTGAAAGATCGCGACATCTGCCTGTAAACACCACGAATTCGATTGCGGACATACCCCAAAAATCCCAAAACCCTAGAATCCTGGAGCCCTAAACCCAAAACTCTAATACTCCAAAAACCCCAAACCCTAAACCCGAAACTCTAATGCCCTAATAAATGCAAAAATACCACACCCAAGAAGTCTCCCAACACCCTAAACCCTAAAGTCTAATGCCCCAAAAAATTGAAGAAACACACCCACACCCAAGAAGTCTCCGCAGGTCGACTCCTCGGATGGCGCAGCTCCGGTGGCCGCTTGTGAGCTGCAGCAGACGGAGCCGTCGGTGGCCTTCTTGAGCCTGGGCCCATCGGGTTCCTTTAAGGGGTTCCTGAAAAGGGATGCCTTTGTTGAGCCTGGGATCATTTTGCGTATTCGGGTTTCGGGCTTAGGGCTCAGTTTTAAGGGATACCAAAAGGGTTCTATAAGGGATTCAGGCCTTCTTGACTTGAGCCTGGGATCAGCTTATCGATTATGGTTTGTGTATTAGGGGTTAGGTTTTAGGGATTTAGTTTATTTAATGTAGAAGCCTCAATATTTCAGTAATTGTGGGGGCCAAATAGTTGGAATAGGGTTCCTTTTAAAGGGTTCCTGACAAGGGATACTGCGAGGGTTCTATTCAGGGTTTAGGGTTTTTTTCTCGGGTCTTGGGGCTGTTAGTTTTTTCGAGGTTTTGGGGTCTGTGCCTTCCGGGATTTAGGATTAGGTTTTTGGGTTTGTGGATTCAAGGGTTTAGATGGATTTAGTAGTTTAGAGTTTAGGGTATCGGCCTTCGAGTTACACGTCGTGGTGCTGGAGGGGGCCAGTGTTGCGCAGGCGCCGAAGCCGGGAACAAGTCATGACAGCAATGCATGTGATAAGTCGTAGTGGTAACAGTACCAGGTGCTTGAAGTACCGAGTCATTTGTCTGACATGAAGTCGGCCTGAACCCTAAGCCAAACCCTCAGCGGTGACCGGCACGAGTAGTCGGAGCGGAAGGAGTTCCAGTCAGCATATCAAGTCGTCACAGGACTAAGACTTGACAAGCCAGCGATAGAACTTTGGGGTGTTGAGGCTTTGGGAGTTGGGCTTAGGGCCGTCATTGCGAACTTGGCAGCAAGTGAGCCCAATTTCTTGTGCCATTGCTGTTCTTCGGAGCAGAGGGTATCTGTACCCTTCTGAGGATATGAGTGATCGCAGTAGCAATGGCAGTAGTGGGGCGCTGCGTGGGGAGCTGCGGCATCATGAATCTTTGCAGTAGCAACAGGGTCCTTGCTCCGAGCCTGCCACTTGAAAAGACGCCGTCTGCTGTGACTATAATATAGGGGCCTTATTTACTATTTGGGGGTTCCTTATTAGAATTGTAGTACACTATACCCCAAAACCCTATTCTAATTACTATGGCCCCTAAACCTCCGAGGAGATCCATGGCGGTTGCGCCGCACTGCCGGCGGCGTGGCTACGCACGGCGGCTGTTGAGGCCTGCGGCCCAAAACGGACATGAGTTCGTGAATTTTCATGGGTAGAAAAGTATCGTTGCCTCAATTAGGGCGGTAAGCAGTAGCAGCAGGTACCCTGATGATAACTTGTAACTCTACTTGCTAAGTCCACTGATCATGCAACGGGTCTGTCCCTTTGGTGAAGCAGTTATTTTAGGGCGTCAGTGGTACAAGAACCACATCTTGCAAAGCATGTGAAACCACCAAGTAAGCCACAACATGCCTGTCGCACGGCAAGAGAAGGGCACGCATGCTACAGTGCCGGATGACTGTGGCAAGAGCGTATGAGTTAGCCAAAGGTCAGGTCAGTGTGGACACATGGCAGGGGTAGCCGACAATTCGAGGGATGCAAGCGTTGTCATGGGTTTAGGCATGATATTTCAGTTTCACCAAACAATAGCAAGGGTCCTTGTTTCAGCCGGATGCTCCACGACGCAAGGCATCCCCAAACTTGAGCGAGATCCATATGAGAACACCCGCAATGCCTCAACCTTCAAAACGAACACCGGACCAAGCAGAGTAATCCAAGACACCCATGCCGAGAACACCAATCGGCTTCGTCGTCGTCGTAGTAGTAGGAAGGAGTAGGAGTAGCAGCAGGAGCAGGAGTAGCTGTAGGAGTTGAAGTTGCAGTTGCAATTGCAGTAGCAGGAGCAGGAGCAGGGGCAGTAGCAATAGTCGTAGTCGTAACTACAAGAAGAACATTAGGAGAGCGCGGCAACGTCTTGCGAGTTTGTGCTGCATAGGACAGGTAGACTTACCAGGACATGCCCGGTCATCAGATCTAGCAGCAGAAGGCGTTAGGTAAGAATGGAGAGCAGGCGAGGGAACACGGATAAATGCAGCTGATGGAAGCGGTAACCAAGTAAGATTACGCAGCAGCAGATAGGGGAGAGGTAGACAGAAAGTCAGATACCAAGATACAGGCATACACTACCTCTCGAACCATCGTAGCATAGGCATGCGACGCTATAGTGTGCCAGCGTGCTCTATCGAACCATCCAGCTATGTGGTGGATGTGTGACCATGGAACATCATCGAACTGCACAGCAGTGACAGACAAAGCATTCATTCAACCTTCCAAAGAAGTGCAATTTGTATGCCATGTTAATGAAGACGTATAGGTACCCTGAAACCCAAGCCCAGCTTCTAGAACCTGATATTCTATTTGATTGAAAAGAATGGTTACAAGACCGTGAATAAGACTCGTGAACAAGACTCTCAAAAAGAAAATGATGAGAATCCTTAATAAGACCCTTAGTAAGATCCTGAATGAGACGCTGAGAAAGACCTTATGACGGGTTAAGACTTTTACGTAAGGCCCGCAGTACACTTTGAAAGAAGGCCCTTGATTCAGACACTTGCACAAGCCTTTTAGAGGCCTTTAACAAGACTTATACTAAAGGCCCGAAATCACATGCTTACTTGGCAGGTCGGCCGAGAAAGCTGCGCGCGCTTGGGGCTGCGAGGCCCTTTTATTTTCTGGCTTTCGGTGCCATCGACTGGAGGATCGCTTTTCTTTGGGAGGGTTTTAACCGAAGCGCTACCCGTAGCCGAGAAGACCTACCTGTTCAGGGTTCCATATTATGGCTGCGACTTTAGAGTTCCCTAAACCCTAAACCCTAAACCCGTAGGTCTTTTGGACCACAGGTATACCCTTCATGGTGAAGGGGCAAGGAAGAGTTGAGGATTGCTTTGAGAGGCCTGAAGCCTCAACCCCGAGCGGCTCTGGAGCAGTGCTGGTGACTAGGTTCTCTGTGCTAAAGCCTCGAGAAAGAAGCTCTGACACTAGTGTTTGCTTTTGGTTTGGGTTCAAATTTGTGCGGTGCCTGGACGCTCGCGATCGTTCCGGTGGGCGACCCGTGAATAAAGGAGGCAGGCGTAAGGACACTGCAATGAACGATTTATAGTCCCGCCCTGCTGCCCCTGCCCTGCTCCCCCGTCTTGCTGCCCCCCTGCTGCCCCCCTGCTGCCTGGCTTGATGAATGATAGTAATCGGCGCCGTACACTCAGGCTCCGTACTTAGTTCTGAAACCCAACACTCTGACTTGAAGGTAGGGCTGCATGCGGCATTCGCCGCTAGGCAGTAGTAGGGTGAATCGTGTTTGGTAGTACTTAAGTTTACGTGTAGGCGTAGAGCGGCATGCGACACTCGCCGATAGGTAAAAGTAGGATGACTAGCAGTAGACTAGAGTAGAGTGTGCTGAAGTCGTAGTCTTGTAGTCGCAGTGTGAGTAAGACTGAGTAAGAGTTGCAAAGGAATGCGGCGATGAAGTGACATTCAACGCCACCCCCCGCAGGGATTCACAAAATCTCCCGGGCTGTTGTTTTTTTTTTTTTATATTTTCCTTATGGACACAAACAAGACCGCGCAAACAAATTGTATCAGCTGTCTAAAGCCTTGTAAAGCCGTATAGTGTAGTAGCACTATCTGATCATGGCCGCCTCTGGATCCTTCTCGCTTCCCTTCAACCCCCAAACTCATGGACCCTTAAACCCTTAAGCCCTAAGCACAGCAATCTGCGACCTGAACCCTGAAACCCCAGCTCGCTATCGACTTAGCCCTAAACCCTACGTATACCTACCTTGAACTCGAATCCCAGAACCTAAGAGCCTTAAGCCCCAAACCCAAAAGCCTTGAGAGAAAGACTTCTTCACGAGAGACACGGGCTGCCTGGAGAGCGGTGATCGGCCAGACGCCACGGGAGGCGGATGGAGCAGACGGGTGTGCTCGCTGGAGAAAAGAAAGACATAGAAGGACGCTTTACGAAAGAAGCGGAAAGGTGAAGGGCAGGGGGTGGCGGATGGGGCGTAGCATGGGGGGGTGAAGCGTGCCAGTGAGGATGGTGTTTCAGGTGCGTCCGCGGTGGTGCTGGAGGTGAAGAAAACGATTAGTTCTATTCAACTCCCAGGGAGGGACGGGGATGAGGGAGCGTAGCGTCGGGGGAAAGAGTGGCAGACTTGCAGGGGAGGAAGTGAAGGGATAAACACTCATGGGACGGTGGGCTCAAATGTATTCCCTGAGGAGAAGAATCAAAGCTTCTGCTGGGAGAGGGGCGGGTCTTGAAGGAATAGGGCGAGCTTGGGTGCACTTATGGACGAAGAGCTGTAGTGACGAGGTGCGCATGGCAAGTGCGTCTAAGAGTGCGGGGTGTACTCGTGGAGGTGAAGCTGGAGGGCGAATGCGGCGAGCGTGCCGGGTGTAGTCGCTGCGGCAGCTTTCAGGGATGGGCGGGAGCAGAAACAGGGAGGCGCGGAGAATCCCGAAGAAAACAAAGCGTCGTCCAAATGCCGACTGGGCTCTCCAGGGTGAAGAAACTCGCACCTAATAAGGCAGGTAATTAGAGTCAGGTTTTGGGGGTGCCTTATTATAAGTAGAAAATAATGTATCCCCAAAACCCTATTCCACTTATGAAGGCCCTACATTACTCTAAACCTTACAAAAAACGAAACCTTCGGAGCCGCTTTGCTGGTCTGAGCGCAGGCTGTCGTTTTGGATGCTCGCCAGGACACTGGGGTTGTAGCACTTTGGGGGACTGCAGAGGTTCAGGGGTCACCCAAAATCAATCGCTGCGAAACCCCAGTATCAGCACACAGGCCTCTAGAACAGCTGCATTACGTCAAGTATCTTAAAGTATGAGAGCTGCGGTACATTCCCGATTGTGGATAAATCACCCGAAAGCCTAGTTTCAAGATCATAAAGTTGAAACCCTTAGCAAAGCCCCTGAACTGTATAACGCCTTCTTAAACTGAAGCCCGTAAACCAATCTTCAAGCGAAGCCTTAACGGATATCGTATGTTTAATGGCTGCCACCAATGCCCCCGACCCCCAAAAGGAAGGCTATCCGGGGGCAGGCGCAAGAGCCTTTGGGTTTCCCCAGAGTCTAGGGTTTGGAGTATTTGGGTTTTAGGTTAGGTTTTTCGTGGGGTTTTAGGTCAGGTTTTTGTTCATCAGTTAGGCTCGGGTTCTCGCCCTTTGTGGCGTTAGTTAGGCTCGGGTTCTCGCCCTTCGTGGCGTTAGTTAGGGTCGGGTTCTCGCCCCAACTCTACTCGGCGTTAGTGCGTGGCTAGCTTGAGCTAGATTTTAGCTAGATTTTCGGAATATGAGAGCAATTTATTGAAGCCCCAATCAATGCCCAACCTCTACCCGACACCCCAATCTCTCCTCAAAGTAGCCACGCAGTGGGGCCGAGGGTAAGGCCGGGGCCGGGTAGGGTGGGGGAGGACTCGGGCATGCATTAGGGTTCATGAACTTACTCTGGCTAAAATCTCGCTCAAGGTGGCCACGCGCCACGCAGTGGGGCCGAGTAGGGTTGGGTAGGGCCGGGTGGGGCCGAGAGGGGCCGGGTAGGGTTGGGGAGGGGTTGCGCATGCATTGGGGCCTCCTTAAATTACTCTAAGACGACTCAAATCGAAGCTAAAATCTAGCTGAAGGTAGCTACACGGTGGCGCCGAGTAGGCTTGGGTAGGGCCGGGTGATGCCGTGGGGTTGGGGAAGCGCTGGGCATGCATTGAGGCCTCATTAAATTACTTTACTCAAAGTAGCCACGCGGTGGGGCCGAGTAGGGTTGGGTAGGGCCGGGTGGGGCCGGATGGGGCCGGGGGTTGGGGAGGGGTTGGGCATGCATTGGGGCCTCATTAAATTAGTCTACGACTGCTAAAATCTAGCTATAGGGTTGGGGAAGGGCTGGGCATGCATCGAGGCTCCATGGAATGACTTTCAGAATACGAATACGAAAATCGAGCTAAAATCTAGCTAAAAGTGGCCACGCGGTGGAGCGGGCCGGGTGATGCCGGGTAGGGTTGGGGAGGGGTCGGGCATGCATTGCGGGCTCATGAAATTACTTTACGACTCCTCAAATCTAGCTAAAATCTAGGGTGGAGCGAGTGGGTCGGCGGATAAGCTTTAAGGGCATCCTCAGAACCCTTCAAGAAATCCGTGAAGGACAACATTCCTGCCGTGCAGCTGTACGAGTCTGCTGGCTTCCGTGCCGTGGGTTGGACGCCAGCCACCCGGAGAAGCAAAGTCTAAGCTGTGTCCGGGCCCCTTTGAGGATTCGATACAAGGGTCCTTATCAGTCGAATTCTGACGGGTTATTGAACATATTTCATGTTGGTTCCAAGGAGCTTAGAAGCCAACACCCTATACACCCCAAACCAGAAGCAGCAAGCGACTTCCAAGTGAAATGTTTCGGCTGGGGGCTGGGTCTCACAGCGTCTGAAGAGAGTTCCCAAAGACCGCGAAACCGTTTACTATGATTTGAAATGTAGTGGGATGCGTAGTATGATTCGCTGTATAATTATTCCTTCTTGAAGGTTTTTTTGGAGTTTCTGGGCTAGGGTTTCCTCCCTAAACCTTAAACCCTAAACCTGGGCTCAAGGATGCTCATGGTTTCGGATTCCAGGGATGATGGGAGCTTGTGGTGGTGAGGTTTCGGATTCCGACGTTCACCTTCGGGTTAGGGCTTGGGGATCTTAGGATTTAAGCACTAAACCCTGAAACGCTGAAGCCCTAAGCCTTAACACCTCCCAAAACCCCGAAGCCCGAAGTCCCAATTTGTGCTGCCCTTTTCTGATAATTCAGGCCACTACACTAAGCATTGAAATAGAGGTCATCGACATTATCATGGCAGTTCAATGACAATAGTTAGTGTTAGACTGTCGTTGTAGCCATTAGAAAGATCTCCATGATCAGAGTTATCATCGTTATATCGAGAACAATAACACAGCACCCGCCAGTTGAAGAACCCTTGTAGAAGCCCGGTTCTTGATACGCACCTAAGACCTAAACCCAAAGCCCGAAACCAGAAGATCCCTAAAACCGGCGCTGCAGGTATCATGATTATTAACTGGGTACGGCCCCCACTCAGTAACAGTTGGCTAATATTCATAAGTAGATATATAAGGCCCTTAATAGTAGCCCTATTATAGACTGTTACTGTATGGGGGCCGTACCCAAATTATTAACATAAAAGCTTGAATAATTGTTCAGACTATTCCTGAGAGTCCCTGAGTGCAACAGTCGTATGCCATCGCCACATTCGACGCTGTAAGAGCCTTAAACTAGCGCTCTAAAACCTCCATTTGTTTGTTCAGGCACCTAAATCATGGAACTCTTAGAGTATCCCTTATGGAACACTTGAAAGCGTGCCCCATAGAAGCCTTTCAATGCTTCACATTATTCTGATCTGAGGTTGAAGAGCTGGAGCTTGAGTGCCTTCTTGCCGGCAGAGGTCAGCAGCGCCATCATGGTACGGTTTAGAATCTGGGGTTATACCAGGGTTCTAGAAGCGTTCAGGGTTTAGGGATGGGTGTCCAGATTGACGGTTAAGGGTTACGGGCTTTGGGAGAGAGAAGGACGTGTACAAGTGGCACTTGCTTTTTGAACACTGGTCATTGGACAGTAGGAGCAAGGGTCCTGTGCTTTGTGTCAATGCTGGATACTGCATGAGGGTTGCACCTGTGACGCTCTACCCTAAGGCCCCGAAGTAGTTCCTTTTTGGGGTTCATCTTTAGAATCCTATAAGGTAATCCCACAAAGGAACTACTTTGGGGCCTATGGGTAAACCCTCACAGAACCCAAAACTACACCAAAAACCCAAAGCCCCTAAACCGTACACCGTATAGCTCCCTTTAAAGGAACTCTATGAGCCCCTACTTGAAGGATCATGGGACTTAGTAAGTAGGTTATAATTGGGGTTATAAGTCCCCTAAGTGGGGTTATCCTAATTATAACCTACTTATAACTTTACTTACTAAGTCCCATGAGCCTTTAAGTAGACCCAGACCAGGGCAACCTTGGGACTATGTCTCGTCCATTCAGGCAGCCGCCGCTGGTCGCGCATGCTGCGGGGCACCCTAGACACGGAGGGCGACGAGGTGCCATCACTGTGGTGCTCTTAAAAGGGGTTTTCCGAAAATAGGGGACCCTAATATAGTACCCTAAATAGTAGGATCCTCATTTTTTGGACCCCCAAATAAGGTACCCCTAAGTTTCGGAAACTCCCAAATCATGACGGCCGTTGCAGTTCAGAGTTGGTTTTAGGGTTTAAGAGGTTGGGGTATGGTGATGTGCTCTCCTGGCTCTTCTCTTCTTGCTTTCTTCGTCGGTCCTGTTGTCGTGCAAAGCATTATGATGCTTTCGTACTTGTCTTTCTGGCCTGTCCTTACCCGCCCTCTCTTCTCAACCTGAACCCTGAATCCTATACCCTAGCGGCCCTAGACCACGAACCTTTATCCCCCAACCCGAAAGCCTCGACTCTTATAGTCGGAACTCAGGCCTTTAAAGGAACCCTATAAGGTTTCTTAGTCAGGCTCCTACATTATTATAGTACCCTTATGGATCCGTTGTAGGAGCCCTTACATCCTGTTTTCAATCCCTGAAACCTTGAGAGGAATGAGGCAGAAAAGGAGCAAAAACAAGTGCCTCGACCCCCTGCTGGCAGGAGCAGCGGGCTCAGTAAGTAGGTCGTAAGCTTGGTTGTAAGAAGATACCCCAGTCTGGCGACTTATAACCCTGCTTGAAACCTGCTTAATGTAGGAACCTAATTGAACCCCTGGGCCTATAACCCCAAAAATCGAAGATTTCGTAATCAGGAACCCTAATAAAGGCCCAAGGTTTCTTAATCAGGCTCCGACATCATTATAGTACCTTATACATCCCTTATAGTAACCCCTGTAAAGGAACCCTATAAGGTTTCTTAATGAGGTTCCTACAGTATTATAGTACCCTTATGGATCCGTTGTAGGAACCCTTACATACCTCTTCAAAGGAGCCCAAATAAAGGCCAAAGGTTTCTTAAGCAGGTTCCTACATCGAACCCCTGGAAACCCTTATGGTACCCTGAAAGTCCCTTGAAAAGGAACCTTTAGGATGTAGGGGTTTAAGGAGTTTAGGGTTTAGGGAGTTTAGGGTTTAGGGCTTAGGCAGTTTAGGGTTTAGGGTTTTAGACCCCTACAGAGGAGCCCTCTGGCATGGAGCTCGCCGCGGAGCTGACGCGGCGGGCGCTCTATCAGGCAGGCGGCTTTTCGAAGTCCAGGGTTTCGGGTTTAGGGTTTCGGGTTCAGGGTTCAGGGTTTAGGATTGAGGGTTTAGGGTTGCGGGTTCAGGGTTTAGGGTTGAAGGTTCAAGGGGGAAGTCCCAGAAGAGTAGGTTTCGGTATTCGGGACCTAAGGGCACCCACAAAAACCTTCCAGAAAAAACTTCGTCGCGACCCCTCCATTTTGTCCGGGCTTGGGGTTCTGGGAGCCATGGGGTTCAGCGGCTATGGCCGAGGGCGTTGTCCGGACCCTAAGCCCACAAACCCGCACCCAACCTAAAGCCCTAAATTTGAATGCACACCCCTAAACCCGAAACCCGAAGCCCCAAAGCCTTGAAGCCCTAAAGCTTAACCTGTAAACCACCAATCATCAACGCCCTAAGCAATCTCCAAACCGCAAGCATTAAAGCCTTGTGGACCGCCTTAAGGACCCCTAGCGGATTTTCAATAGAACCCAAAGAACTTACAATCATGAAGCTCTGAAACCTATACGCTCAGACCCTACATAGTTTCCCCCCAGAGATACTCTGAAAGCACACCCGAGCTTTGAACCTTCCAAATAAAAGAAACCCTAAGCCCTAAACTCCAAACCCAATTCCAAAATCCTGAACCCTTGAACCATTTGAAACGAACCACTTACCTTCAACCCTCAAGAAGCCCCCAAAACACCCCACGCTGTCAGGTGCTTTTGGGCTTGTTGGCCTCAGCAATCTTCTTCCCGAGGCCCGGAAGGGCATGAGGAGCTTCTATGATGATGAATACTGCTGTTAGTATTGTTTCGTTGTTGAGTACTACTCCTATTGTTATTACGGTTAGCTCGACTATAGCATTTCTTCTTCTGTGCAGTTGTTTTATTGTTACTCGTATTGGTATTTATGACTACTACTGTTTTGTTTTCGAAATTTCCTTTGCTAATGTGAAAAATTTGTTGTGAGCATTTTGCTGTTTTACTGAATTTAGTTGCCATTATTACTACAATTGTTCTTTTTTACTGTTTTTGCTATGATCAGTCTTGTTTTACGAGTACGATGGTGTCATCATGCTGATGATGGTGATGATGGTCGTGATGACGATGAACTCTCAGTATCATTCGTATGAGAACTATTGTGATTGCCGATGCTACGATTCTGTTCCTTGTTACCACTGGGTTCCCAATATAATATCACAAGTCCTTGATGCACCCCAACACCCGATTCAAACGTCTAGGGCCTTCTGTTGGGGTGTGCAGCTTGGCACTGACATGCACTGGCACAAGTGGGTGGTTGTCAAAATTATGGTCCCTTTTTGGGTCCTTACTATAATACGGCACCTAATCTTTAGGGTACCCAAAAAGGGGCCATAATTTTGATAACTACCCAAGTGAATGTCGTCCTTGATCTGCTCTTGGAACTCGTTCTCGGCGCGGCAATTCAGGGTTTAGGTTTTTAGGGGTTTTAGGGGTTCTGGGGGTTTAGGGTTTAGGGTTTTAGGGGTTTTAGGGGTTTAGGGTTTGTATAGTCCAGCACGTGTCTTTGCGGCATGCAAAGTTTTGCTAAAGACAGGAAGCGTCAGAAAGAGAGAACGAGCGAGAGAGCGAAAGAGACAGTGGGAGCAGCAGAGGGCGAGAGAGTGAAGAAGTACGATGCAGCTACTTGGGAGTTTCCGAAAATAGGGGACCCTAACATAGTACCCTAAATAGCAGGATTGCTGGAGTGAACCAGCAGGCATAGAAGCAGAAGCTACTAGTGGGGTAGCTAATCCCCTAGCAGAGTCTTCCCAACTGCCCATGGCTCACTCGAACACGGAGGTTTTACACGCAAGCAAAAGATCAGAAACATGACTAGGGCATGACACCAATGTTGATGCATGTGCAAATGTGATTAAAATGCATTGCTCAAGGCTGTACTGTTCGGGCCTAAAGAGCACAAGAGGAAAACGTTTCACATGTACACGTGACGTGAGCTACAAAGGTGGCATGCTTTTCAGCACTCCTCCTTCGCAGCCCCGCCAGGGAGTTGCGACCTACTTGCTACTGCAGGTCAACCCGTCAGGGTGACGCCATGCCTACCCTGAACTACCTGGCAAAAACTGGGCCAACTGCCCTCACTCTGCGAGGGCTCTCAAGGCACCTCGTGCGGAAAAAGACCCAGCTGCGGATGAAGCTCACTGAAAGATCCAACCCGTTAGGGTGGAGTAGTTCCTACCCTGTGCTGTGCTGGGTGTGGTCGGCAGCACTCCCGTGGCACTGCTGGCACACTTGAAACTCAACAAACCTGTGCGAGTGGGCGAGCGTGGAACAGGTCTTAGTGCGGTGGAGCTTGGTCCCCTCGGGTGTTGCAAAGTAGCGCGTTGGTGCTCCACCTGCCTGCTCACGCGTGCGAGTTGTTTGTGGCGGCGTCTGGGCACTGCAGCAACAGACTGCGAGCTTGCTGCCTCCTCACGTGCAGAGATCTCGGCCTGGATGGCCTGCGCAGTTTGATCTCGAAGGCGCTGTAACTTACGCGCCTTGCGGGGGCTCAGGGACAACACGGGTGTCCCTGCCTTTCGGCGGGAGATGACGCCTTGAAGGCACCACTTGCAGAACTCCCACACTGCAATGAAGCAAATGCCAATGCAAATGATGGATACTGCCAACATCAAATCTGCATCAAGCGACACAGGGAGAGACAAGTCTTCTTCCTCGTCTGCTGCCTGGCTAGCAGCGCCTATGACTTGCAGGAAGAAAACAAGCCTGAATAAAGCACTCACCGGCTGATCACGTTGACCAACTGCACTTGCTTCCGCAGTGCGGAACAGGTTAAACCCGAGCACGCTCCAAAAGGCTGCTGTCACAAGGCCTTTCGGTACTGCGGCAAAACACAAGAGTTTGAGCGGCACACTTCCTGCAAAAAGTTGTTGGGACTCCTCCTGGACTGGAGGCCCTGGTACTGTGCCACAAAAACCAAGCAACCTAACGCACGGCTCCTCCTCAACCCAGTACGGTACTGGAGTGCCTGTAGCTGCTGAGGGCAGTGTCCTGAACACGCCGGTGCAAAGTGAAGGCAAGCTTATGCGAAGGACGACAAGTACGAGCAGCCACAACAACAGTTGGAAAAGGAGGTTTGCCTTCAGACGTCGGCGTGTGTTGTGGGTCCCACCCTCCCGGGGGGCGGTTGCTGGGACTGCAACACTATTGGGCACTGTGGTTTCGTGCTCTCCTCCTAGCTTGGTGGCTACGACCTTGTGGACGGTTGGCTGGACGTCACGCGGCCCAAACCCACACAACGCCCCAGAACCATCTACACAAAGTTCACCCGTACACCACTGCGGTAGATCTGGCATTGCTGTATGCCCATCTCTTCCGAGTGGGGAATGTGGCAGGCGCGTCCAATCCAAGTCATAAACGCTTAAATCCCTGATGCCATCGCTGATATTGCATCCTGCGGGATTGTCGTCATCCCCATCGCTAGCGTCCAACCTGAACCACAACGTGTGGGAACCACTACGCTGGGAACCATCCCCCACTGGGCGTTCAGTGGTATGGGGGCTCAAGCGTGAGTGAGATGCAACCGAGGGGTGCGAAGTTGGGGATGTGTTGCGTTCAATCCCACGTCGGGTCACCGTGCATTTCTCCAACTGTGATATCAATGTGAGGGCCTGGCTCTCAACCAATTCCGGGCAACCATTTTTGACCCGAAGCCTCAGCGACTTACCATCAGGAGGATAAAGCTTGCAACTACCAGCGGACCAAACTAGCTTGTATCCCAACTGCTCTATGATGGCACCCATGGGGACAATTGGCTGCACCAGGCCGTCCCTCCCGGGAGGCAGTAGGAGAGTGCCCACGCGCGTCAAACGCATGATTGTGGTTTGGTCGCCGGCTAAACTCACTTGTACCTCCTCTGTGGCCTCCCACTCCTCCTCAGATGATGCTTGCCGCATGGGGCGTGTGGCACCGGAGTCCAAAAGCGCATATGCTATGGGTTTGTGGGCCACAGACAACCCCCCATTCTCGGCTCGAGAATGGGGGTTTGTCCCACCCCGATTTTCGGCATTTCCCAACCCCCGAGTTGGAGCCTCCTGATGGGGGGGTTGGGAGTCCCGGTTTGGGGGGCCCGAAACCGGGAAACAGCTTACGGGCACGACTGAGCGAATCGTCAGCCTCTTCACCGAAGGATTGGGTGTGGACGATGCGGGTACGGACGATGCCGGTGGCGCTGAGGGCTGCTGCGATGCAGTACTCAAGCCTTCCGGCTGAGGTTGAGGCGGCTGGGCATGTGGTGTGGTGTCGCTGCGCGGTGGATTGGCCTCCAACTGCCTTAAGGCTTGAACTGCCTGTTGCATGAAGGTGTCCATGTTGAGCACTGGGGTGGCTTGGACAACGGGTTGGCCTGAGGATGTGAAAGCTGCCTGTACGGACGGTTTCTGATCTGGCGCTTTGGGTTCCGCCTTACCTGCCTTGCAATCCTTAGCGCGATGCTCCTCGGAACCACAATTCAAGCACTTCTTAAACCGCTCATCCTTAGAGAGTTCGGCCATTGAATGTGCGTATCGGCACTTTTGCCCAAACCTGCAGCCCTTAGGCGATAAAAAGAACTTGCATGGTTTGCCACCCGCCCCACTGACACGTTCACCTGCCTCATTTGCGCTCACTGCCTTGAGCTGTGGAACGTGGGCGTCGTCAGACTTTACTGGCACCATTGCTCCGGCTAGCGTTTCAAACTCAGCCAACAAATGCCTGTGATAAGACCTGACCGCCTCTTCCGAGGGGCGTCCGTGGAGCTGCAATGTGCTCTTCACTAGCTCCGTGCGCCATGTTACCTCCGGTTCCTTACGAAGCACTGGCTTAGTCATTGAGGTGAGGGCACTCACCAGGACCATAGGATCCGGTAAATTCATGCCGCAATCCACGCAGCGCTGATACCACCTACCCCAAGCCCTCAAAGCTAACACGCCTGACGTTGCGTTGTCCACCTCCGCTGGATGCTGCAAGTTGGTCAACACTAAAGACCTCTCAGCCGTCCCTCCCGGGAGGTATTGGGTGTGCAACCTGAACAGAATGTGTGTAGCCATCCGCGTGGTTTTACGGGCTATGAGGTCCGCCTTAACCGTTTCATCCAGGGCACCCAAAAGCATCACACACGCCCTCGCATTCACCCGACTCCATTTGCCCTCTACCAACTCCGGTCTGTCATCAGGCTCTATGCGCAAACGCTCAATGGGACATGAAACTACCCACCTCTCATAGGCGTCACGGCTCACCTGCAGAACAGCCGCCCACCAGGAGCCCGAAGTGTCCGAAAGGTCACCCATAAAACCACTTACCAGTTGTAACCAATCCTGGAAATCCAGGGATCCTGTTGAGGGGTCTGGAGTGGCCAGTTTGGGCAAATCTGAGGTGCCGGGCTTTACCACTTCAGGAGCATCACTATCCTTACCCCGGAGTTGCTGCAATTGCACGCTTTGTAGTTGTTGCATTCCTAGGATTAGTGCATCTAATGCGGGGTTGCCTGACGCAAGGCCGTGAGTCCCCTCATGCGGTATGGGAACCGCTCCTCCTGGAACTGAGCCTCCTTGCAACCCTGGTGGGGGTGGTGCCTGGGGCAATCGTGTTCCCCCTGGCGTTGCACTGTCGGCATGGGCACTAAAGGCCCTGATATCCTCCAGACTGGGGTTTTCGACGCGAGATTGGGAGTCTGGGCCAGAAGAGGCCAGACCACCCGCTGTTGGTCCGATCCCAGCCCTTCCGGGAGGAGACGCGCGATTTGGATTGGCATATGTCTGATGTCCAACCCTTCCGGGTGGAGGCGCGCTTGCATCCCTTGCAGACCCACGCAAACCTCCCAACCCGGACATGAAACTCGACAACAAACCCGGAAAAGATGTAGCCTGAATAGCGGGTGCCACAGTCCTACTAGCATCAACCGCTCGAGGTGCCACACCTTGTACCTGAGATGTGATTGGACTGACAACCTGAGTGACCTGTGATTGGGCATGTTGGAGTAGCGGCAAAGTAGGTGTGGTTGTCTGCGGGGCAGTGTTTGCTACCACTACTTCCCTCAACATGTGGTCTCTCTCCTCCAGCTGCCTCCTTAACCTCTGTATCTCAAGGTCCTGGGCCTCAGCTCTCTCACCAAACCCCGCTAGCTGCCGTGCAACCTCAGCTTGAATGGCTTCTTGAGGGAATGATGACGAGTCGGTGCGACTCTGTGGCCTCTCAGGCCCTCTACCGTACAATACCGGGGCCCTCTGCTCCGAGGCTTGCATGCGCTGCAGCATTTCAGCACTTAGCAAAGGGCCATCCCTTCCGGGAGGCGGTGCAAAGGATGTTGGAGTACCATGCGCTCCCACTTGTGGTGGCGAGCTTGTATGCGAACCCAAACTTCCTTCTCCCAAGGCCAATTGCCCTGAAGCACCACTCGGACTATCGCGAGTTTGTGATGTGGTTCGTGGTGGCGTGGCGTGTGTGCCTTGCAACACTGCGGCGGGTACTTGCACCACCTCAGTGCGCGCTACACGGAAAAATTCCCCAACTCTCGACATGAGTTGAAAACCTGTAGCAGGTAACCCTTCTACCACTTCGGCGATGGTAGGCAATCCCTGCTGCGACCTCGGGGTAACAAACCCCTCGGCTCCCACGGTCTCCCCAGTTGACCTTACACCCCCCAACACTCCACCTCCGCTCAAATCCGTAGCCAGACCGGCCTCATTTGATACGGCTTGATGTGCGCTGGCGTTGGTCTCTGGTCCTGGGCTTCCGCCCGGAGCTGTGCTTTGCGGCAGTGCACTTCGGGGCGCACGAGCAATCCCACCATCAGTGGTGGTCGACACCTGGGGTGTGCCTTCTACTGGGTCCCCACTTCCAGATGCCCTTCCCGCAGCCATATGGGACGCAAAGCCTACTCCACCTGCAATGTGCACTTGTGCAGGTGTTGGTGTTGCGTCCTGTGTACCTGGGTGACCATCCCTCCCGGGTGGTGGGGATGGCATAGTGCCCAGAGTGCCGTAGTGCCCTTGCCCAAGCGTTGGGCTCATAACCTGCTGGAGTGAACCAGCAGGCATAGAAGCAGAAGCTACTAGTGGGGTAGCTAATCCCCTAGCAGAGTCTTCCCAACTGCCCATGGCTCACTCGAACACGGAGGTTTTACACGCAAGCAAAAGATCAGAAACATGACTAGGGCATGACACCAATGTTGATGCATGTGCAAATGTGATTAAAATGCATTGCTCAAGGCTGTACTGTTCGGGCCTAAAGAGCACAAGAGGAAAACGTTTCACATGTACACGTGACGTGAGCTACAAAGGTGGCATGCTTTTCAGCAAGGATCCTTATTATAAGGACCCCAGAATAAGGTACCCCTTATTTTCGGAAACTCCCACTTGCCGAATTGCTTTGAGAATCCATCTTGTGCCGAGAACATCTCCGGAATGGGGTTGCGGTGACGGGAATAACAAGACTTAGATAGTGAACGGGGGAACTTTAAACTTTTTGGCCTCATATATTTGCTCTATATTCGAAAGTTTGAACTTTTTGGGGCCCGGTTGTTGAAGAACAGAGAAGATGAGCATCGGTTGAGGGTTTAAAGGTCTACTGTGGCTTCATATAATGAAGAACTTGGTCAGAGAAAGAATCAAACCGCTAGGATGCTTCCGATCGCGATGTTTTTTCTGTGCATTCTTGCTGCTTAATCCGAAACCCCAAAGCCCATTCCAATTGACGAGTCTTTTGCTTCTCCTTGCTGCAGGTGATGGGCGGCATCATGGTTGGGCGATCAACCAGACCAGCTCTTGCAGACACAGCTTGGTTTTGGCCTGCGCGATGCTGTCCGATCTGTTTCGTTTCGATTGGCAAGTGGCAGCTAAAGAGCGGAAGCAGTGGCTGTGGCTGACCCAGCTCGTGATCGAACCGGCAAGATCTCGGCGCACGTGGAACATCGCTGGGACAACGAAAGTGCTGGGAATTCTAGTGAGCTGTTTGCTGATTAGCCTCTTCCGTCAGACTTGCACTATGTACTTTGGTGGATGAGACTTCCGACAGCAGAGATGCCCATGAACGATGCTTGAAAGGCAGCAACGTATCGCTGCGAAAAGCAGCGATTTTCGCTCGCATCACCCAGGAGGGGCTGCAGCATATCCAGGACGAGTGACCAGGGCATTCAGTCGTAAGAGTTCGGTTCTTGAGCATGTGTCTACATCCAACCCGAGTGTCCTCCCTGTCCCGGATGATGCACGCAGACAGCCACTGTGGTGTAGAAAGCACTGTGGCGTTAAAACTTCTTGCATCCCAATACATGTTCCAGGCTTTGGGCATTGGGGTTTCGGAAAGCTTAAACCCTAAACCCTAACTTTGGGTGTTGCGGTGTCGGGTGGCTTACACTGTGACTGGAATTGTATTTTGGCCCTCAACCCTCAACCCCAAACCCTAAACCCCTAAACCGTTTATTGTTCAGGGCTGTGCACCCTTGCAGCATGCTTTTTGGCGCTGCAGCTACTCTGAGCCTGCTTGAGGCTCAGCCTAAGTAGAGAAAATTAGGGGTGCGTTAGGGTTCCTGTAAAGGGATACTATAAGGGTTGTATAAAGGGTTTAGAGTTTCTGAAAATTAGAGGTGCCTCATTTTTGGAGTCCTGATAATAAGGATCCTACTATTTAGGGTCCCATGTGAGTTTTCGGCAACTTCGGTGGTGCTGTCTACGAAAGCTTCCCATCCTCAGGTGCATATGCGACACAGGTACATGGTCTCTTAGGGTGGAACACTCTTCACGCTTTGTGGTTCCAAAACCTTCACTAGACCCATGGAGCCTCAAACCATGTGGGAGTTTCCGAAACTAGGGGATCCTAATATAGCACCCTAAACAGTAGGATCCTTATTATAAGGACCCCGTTTTCGGAAACTCCCATGTTGGGTGGTTCTGGAGTTCCAGCATCAGGCCTTAAACCCCACTTGGGGGGTCAGGGGAGTGAGTAAGTAGACTTATAAGTACCCTAAAAGGGACCCTAATTGGGGTTATGGTACTTATAAGTCCCTAGACTAACCAGTTACTAAGTCCCCCGACCCTCCCAGCACATGCAAAGTCCACGTCGCCTCTCTTGGCTCAGACGTGGTAGGCCGCAAGTTGGAGCCATGGCACCCATCCAAGGACGTGAAGGGAGCTTGTCGGGTTCTAGAGATCAGGCGTGAAGGTACTGCGAGACACAGCACCCTAAACCCCAAACCCTAAACCCGAAACCCTAAACCCTAAACCCTAAACCCTAAACCCTAAACCCCAAACCCGAAACCCCAAACTAGGGTGTTCAGGGTTCGGGATCTTCTCGCGAAGCTCATCTCTCAAACCCAAAAGGAACCATGGCCACCAAAACGATAGCCAACAAGCATGTTTTCAAAAACTGCACCCAGCAGGTGTATATAGGCTTTAGGGTTTGGGGCAAATGGTGCAGTCAGGGAGCCAGCTAAACCCTAAACCCGAAGCCCTCTCGACGTAGCTCTGAAACGGCCTAAGCTGAGCCTTCAAGCCTGTCTTGTTCTTAGGGATCCATTCCCCCATTCTCTATTATCCAGGGGAAAAGGAGGGACCCTTAATTAGGACCCCTAGGTATATACCCTTAATATAGCTATTATATACCCATTATAGGGTAGGGGTCCCCAATAAGGGTCCTTCCTATTCCCCTTTGATATCAAGCACCAGACAGTCTTGTGCCAGCCCTAGCGCCTCCGCCCTCACAGCCCTGAGCCCTTCAGCCCTAAGCCCTAACTCTGTGTATCATAGACAGGCTTTACCAATACTAGTTGGGGGTTCTTCATGAAAATTATATTGGGCCCCAAAACCCTATTCTAATCCTTAAGGCCCCTATATGAAGAAGCTTAGCGTCCCAAACCCAAACCTCTCGAGAAAGCTTCGAGCCTGACAGCCTCAGGGTTTGAACCCTAAAATCTCTACATTGGTGGTTGTCAAAATTATGGTCCCTTTTTGGGCACCCTAATTATTACGTGCCGTATTATAATAAGGACCCAAAAAGGGACCCTAATTTTGACAACCACCCAGACGTACAACCCTTGAACCCGTCAACCGATAAAAACTTCACGTTTTCAACGTCATGGGCTCTGAACCCCGAACACTATGTCACTAGACTACTTTGCTGAGGAACGAAACAAAGACATCAGAATAACGTCTTCCTGACACCCGAGCGCTGGCGAGAAGGAGAAGGCGCCCCAGAAGCTCCACCCGCAAGGTGCGGCAAAGGTCGTCGCGCAGGAGGCTGGGTTCAGAATGTAGTGGTTTACGGCATTTAAGCGTTGAGGTTTGTTTATTGTGATCATCTCGCCCAGAAGCCTTTAAGCACGAGTCTTCAGCGTCTCAGTGTCCCGATACCTTATACCTCGGCATGTAGGTAGATAGGTAGGTAGGTAGGGTATGTATGTACGGATGTTAGATGTCTTGCGTACGTGGCGCCATGTCATGCCAGGCCATGTGATGTTATGTTATGTTGTGTGATTCTACACACGTGTATGTCAGCTTGCTATGCCATGCTATGCTAGCCGCTGGCCGATGACTCCATGTTATGCTGTGCAATGTTGTACTATGGGACGCCATTCTATGTCATGTCATGGTTTGCCCACCTGTAGGGCTGTGTGTATGTCACATTCGTATCAGTATGTTTATCCGTACGGTTCTTCATCGTGATTGAAGACGACCTGCCAGTTCGGCAGAAGGCTTCGGATTGGGCTGAGAGGTTTAAAGTGTAGACTCAGGATTCAAGGTTCGTTTTGCGATTCGGTCATCGTTAGGACATGATGTCCATAAGCAATTTTGCATGCCCCTCGGGGTCTGTCACAAACCTTGAGCAAGGACAAACAATATTCCTTTATAAGCCGTATGATGGACTCCATTCGGGGCACTGCCCAGAAGAAGAAGAAGACCTCTAAGGAGGCCGGGGGCGATGTTTGCAAATCCGGGCTTAATACAGGGCCATATTCAGGTGTAAGAAAGTATTGGGCAGTACTTATTTGTTTAGCTAGAACAGGCTTTTGGAGCACGTTCTATCTTGAGCCTCCGCACTAACCGCTTCATCCCTTTACGACGGTCAGAACCTATATGGTTTGCGGGCTGCCGCCCAGGTTGCGGTTGGGAAGCTAGCAAAGTGTCTTCGCTGTGCAGGGCCGAGGGTCTTAAGGCTCAATGTTTCTGACTTGGGAAAGCAACCCGGTATCAGCTTGTTGGAGGGAGCCGAGTGTTATCATTCTCCTCCACCTTGCCATGCAACTATTTGAAGCTGGTGGGGTTTTGAGTTTGGGGTTTGGGGTACACATGAGCCTTGCGAATCCTTCTGTTCACCCCCTGCTTGAATCCTAAGTGAACCCCTGAAGCCTGCAGAAAGGAGCTTTAATTCTGCAAATCCACGTGCAGTCGTGATTCCTTCGAAGTGCCTTGCTAAACTCCCCACAGTTATGGCTGCGCAAGCTACATGCAGACCTGCTAAATGCGGTATTTGACTTGCGACCTAGTGACACCGGTACTTGCCAAGCATCCTGCATACCCGAGCCCAAGCTGTCTGCAAAATCGTTTCTACATTCCAGGTGCAGCATCAGGAAAATCGCACTAGAATGACCGTGCCGGGCAGAGGAATGTGAATTCCTGATGAATCCTTTGCTTTTCTATTCATTGAGCAGCAGCAGCAGCAAAGCCAAACCGAAGCTTGGTGATCGCCGCAATGTATCCCTTCCCCACGCCCTTTAAACCCGGTACCTCCTATACCTGATGTTTTGGGTGTTCCCTGCCAGAGAGACTGGACCAAACTAGGCTCTGAAAGCAGGCCAGGCATGAGCACACAACTATAACCTTCCATATGCCAACTTGCGGTTGGAGGTGCGGCTGCACTTTAATCCGACCCTGAACCATGTGAAGATTCAAAACCCTAAAACCCTAAACCCCTAAACCTCAAACCCTTAAACCTGAACCCCTGAAGATTCAATCCAAAATTCTTGGATTTGATTACCAGAAATCCTGCGCCCTGAGACTGAAGCCCCATTTCAGTAGCTATAAACCCGGCGCTCCAAATCCCAAGCCCTTAAGCCGCCCTACATTCAGGGTGGAAAGGTAGGACTTAGGGTTTAGGGTTTAGGAGGGTTTAAAGGTAGGATTAAGGGTTTGGATCCTCCAGCCAGGAGGAGGCATTGGTGGAGGGAAAGGAGGAGGAGGAGCCGGAGGCCACTACGACAGCGGGGTGGAGTTTACCATACCCAAAGGCTTACAGGGTCTTAGGCGCAGGGACTTCTTATCACAAGTGCGAGTATGGTTCCTATTCAGAAACCGTAGTTTGTACTATGGTACCGGGGGTGGGCAAAGCTAATCCTTCCAATGTGGGGGCCAGGCTTTCTGATGCTTCCAATTGCTTGAAGGTTGTGAGACTTTCTTATCTGCTAGCTCCATGCGCGTTGCCCTTACAAGACCGCCTTCTACCTTCAAACCAAACTAGTCAGTAAATCCTCCGAGCCAGACTGAACCCTGCCTCTGCAAAATACCAGGCGCAGGAGTGTCCTGTAGGGAGAACTTTGGTAGTTGATCTTTCGGAGCCATAGCTCAGAAACCCTAAACCCTAAACTCTTAAACCCCAAACCCTGGGGACCAGATCTGCAAGCTTGGGCTTGTTCCTGCCCAGAGAACCCAATACCCCTTAAATAAGGAATATACCTTAAAGAACAGAGGCCTTAGTATTTTGATATAAGGTATATTCCTTAATTGAGGGGTATTGG